AGAAGGTGTTCATGTCAATCAGGCACCTTCAGATCTACAGGTTTGTTCATCTTTTTTCTTCCGCTTATTTTTTTATACACTTAGTTTCATACTCTCTTCACTGTTTTTTAATGTGATGAGAGTTCGTTAAATTCAAATTAAATTATCTCAAATTCAAAAATTCAGCCGCTTGAAGAAGAAAAAATTCGTCTGAGCGATGGTATCGTTCGTTTGCAAGCCGGTACTAACAAATATGATTCACAGAAGGTAACTCATTTAATAAAAATTTGCCTGAAACATGAAAAGATTGTTCTCTTCAGGAATTGTTTTCAACAAATGTAAACAGTTAATTCTTATTTATTATAACTTTTTTTTGGCTAGTAATAACATTTCTCTTTTTTCATTTTATTCATTCATTTTTTAAAGTACTAATATTTGTAGGGCATGACTGGTTTTGGTACAGCTCGACGTGAAACGACAAAAATGAAAGACTCCAGACATCCTGAATACGATCATGAACATCCCGATCAATCTGAAATCCCACTTCAAGCTGGTACTAACAAGTTTGCTTCACAGAAGGTAATTTTTTATTATTCTTCTCTGAAACAGGAGAATAAGCGCTTTTAGCACTAATGATAAGCTGAATGCATTTGCACAATTACAGTAAATGATATTTCAAAATTGGGTACATAGCCTGATCATGGGATTTTGAAATGCCATAAAGTTCTTCAGTAATAAAAGAGATTGATATTTTACCATCAAACTTTGAGAAAGTGTTTTTTTCCACACTGAAAAGTTGAAAATTACGATCAGTGATTTTTAGGGAATGATCGGATTTGGTACGTCGCGACGTGAAACGACAAAAATTCAAGATTCGGCTCATCCTGAATACGATCCGGAAAGTAGTATCGATTCCACCACAATCCCCAGCCAGATGGGTAGCAACAAATATGCTTCTCAGAAGGGTATGACTGGTTTCGGTCAACCACGCTGGGAGGTATTTCATTTTCCTGTAATTTATTTGCTTACAAATTATTTGACGAAACATTTTGAAATAACTAGAAAAATTCTAGGTCTTGGATCCTTCGATCTCATGGCAGAATCGCAAAAGTCAAGGAATGGTTCGTTTACAATCGGGTACAAACCGGTAAGTTTACAATTGAGGATTTTTAGAACAGTTTAGCTGATTTAGAGTTACCAAATAAATTGGAAATTATTTTTATTGCTGAAAAGGAAGATCAAGTCAAAAACATTCAGTTTTATTTTCTTAGCTTTGCATCTCAACAAGGTATGACCGGTTTCGGTACACCACGTAATACCACTTATGAAGCAGAAGCTGGTGAATTGCCTTATGAGGATATGAAGAAGTCAGAAACAGTAATTCCATCGCAAGCAGGTTGGAACAGAGGTGATTCTCAGAAGGTAAATTTGCTTGAATAAAATTAAATTCATATGCCAGTGAAATAGAACATCAATTCTACAAAAGAATTTTTAAAATTCATCGTTGATCTTGAACTGCATGTAAATCATTTCTGAGTTTTATATGACACTTTGGAAGAATTGTAAACACAAATAAATGATTTTATATATCTTTTGCTTGGTTTCTTATAATAACTTTGATTTGTTCTAGGGTATGACTGGATTTGGTGCACCACGTGACGTAAAGGGCAAACATCTGAAACGTATCTGGGAACTGGAATATCCGGAAGAAGCAGAGGCTTCCCTCGACCGACTTTAGATTTCAACTTTTCTCTCACTCTCGGAATTCCCTATCCAGTGCCGTTTCTTGTTTTACAATCCACCAGATCTAAAAATGCATTTATCAATCACATTTTGTTTGGAAATGGGATAAGTCAATTACTGATTTATTCTTGAATTCTTATGTCTACAGTATCGGGCATTATTTTTGCTATCCCATCCCTTTTATCTTCTTTATTGAATTTTTAATTCCAAATTTGATATCGTTTAATTCAAATGACAATATGTCATTGATAAGGCATTTCAACAATACCGGGACTATATGAAATTTTAACTTTTCAAAAAAAAAAATTATTCCTACCAATAAAAATATGCTAACTGCCAAAGATGTTTAACTTTTCAGTTCTTCGAAACTTACATGACAATAAATTTGCGTTTTATGAGAGTTACGCTTTTAATTTCATTCCTTTTTATGGATGATTTATACTATTTTTTTTCAATGAATTGATTTGAACCAATCAAGTAATTAATTAATCAATGAAATTCCTTTAATATTCCTTGTGTGACGGACAATATATGTAACCATCCTTTATTCTATCATAGAAAAAATTCGTAGGATTTAACTTTTACTCCCGGAAAATTGTACATTTGAATGTACTTTATAATAATGATTTTATCATGATTTCGCTTTGTTTGTTGATGATAATATGATATGATATGATATGGATGTATGTCACCTTTAAATGTGTGTCTGTTTTTTGAATAAGAAATCCTCTATTTCTACAAGAAAGCTGCCTTAATATTGCTGCTATAATTTGCATTGTTTTTAATTCGTATGCCCAATTCAAGCAATGCGATATTATTAATATAATTATTGTCGCTGCTGCTATTATTGCGATTTATATTATTAGAACAGACTTTAAATGCTTATATTTATACCATTCATGCGATATTTTCAATAGTTTGACAGAAAAGAAATCACTGAATTTGTTGTGACATGTGGAAAATTCAGCAATATCTTATCTCATTCGTATGCAATCATGCTTGTTAGGAATTCTTTTTTTTTTTTTAANCAACAT